AACACTCAGACTCAACATACTGTTCTGGGAACTGGCTTTCCAAACCCACCTAACTGATGTCCAGGCCCTAGAACTGACTCTCTGCCCTGTTTACTTTGTGCATAGCTATATGGCTTGTCCTGACCCTCCACACTAATGCTCACACCATCCATCTCTCTGGTCTCTCCAAACTTACACACGCCAACACCATCACCATACCTTCTCTTCTGGCCTCCCAAATTTATATTTTCCAGAGTCCTAGACCACACCTCTCTCCTTGCTGCACGAGGTAGGCTGTCACCAGCTGGCAAAAGCAATGCCCCACATGAGACAATTGATAGCACTGATAGCCTTTGCAACCACCTTGAGTTAGTACAGATGATAAGGAAAAGAAGAAAGGTGTAATTCCTTGCCTTGAAGAACATTTCTTAGAAGTTCAGCTTGCATCTCACTGGTCAGAAGTGAGCAAAGAACCATACTGGGCTGTAGTAGAATCTGGGAAATGTGGAATCTAGACAGACTATAGCCTAACTAAAATTCCACACCGGGCATTAAAACAAAAACATGTTTACATAACATAACCGGGTTTACAAAGAACTCCAAACTTCCATTACTCAAACCTAGTTTCTCAGCCTGTCCATATAGACCTAAATTTTGGATCTTCATCTCAGCCTGACCCACTAAGAGGATTTCTTGACTGTTCCAGTCCACCTCACTCTCAGCCTTGACTGTGTGGGAGGCTCTTCTTGATCACTCTTATTTTCTTGCGTTTATGGCCTGACCTTCTGGAATTGAGCCTCCTTCTCTGACAGACTGCATCTAGAATCCCCATCTTGCCCAACCCAGAGCTGTGGTGCCACCGGTCCTGGGGAAAGTGTTTCCTGAGAGAAGCATGGCTGTTTTGCACAGATTTTGATACCAGCAGAGCATGGAGATGAGAAGGGACTTCACCGTTAGACCTAGACAGTTGATTTCCATCTGTTGATTCAAAGGCCATGGTCGTTCATAGCTTGGGTTAGTTCTGGGTCTGTGCTAGCTTTGCAAGGATCGCAAGTCCACTTTGGGCTTCTTTAAAGGGAGAGAGAAGAATAGGGAGAGGGAAGAGAGAGGTAGAGGGAGGAGAGGGAGAGGAAAAGGGAGAGGGAGAGGGAGAGGGAGAAGAAAAGGAAGAGGGAGGAGATGGAGAAGGAGAAGGAGATGTGGGAGTTATAGTAGGCTGTACCTAAGGAGATCTGGGTTCTAGTTCTAGCTCAGCCAGGAATGATGTTGAATTTGCTCCATCTTTGATCTTGCTTCCTTATCCAGAAAGCATATGCTGGCAAGGTAGTAGTCATGTTTCATTCTTGTAGCCACTACTGAATTTATACTTTTATATTTCCTTGTATTATTTACAGATAGCTATTTGCTCATTTTTTTTCTTCGTGATAAACCCATTGTAACACAGATGTGACAGGGGATATTATGCCCATTAGACAGGTGGGAATGTTGAGCCTGAGGAACCTCGGTTGTCAGGGTTTCATTAAGATTGAAACTCTCCTTCCTACTCCACATAGTTTCTCCTTAACAGAAGGCATGTGCTTGTAGTGGGTGTTGGTAGAATGGAGCAGGGGCATCTGTCTGTCAGGCTTCTTTGATGTGTGACTACAGAGCATATAGTATATAGTTATTAGAGGGATCCATGATTGCTGCTCAAATTGTGTTGATTACTTTTGTCTGCTGGAGGTTCTGTTTTGTAGTTGACACTGAATGCATAATATAGGCAACCAAAAATAGGAAATCATAAACCATCAACTGGAAGGAAAGAGGTGATGGGCCAAGAGATAAGGACAGGTTGGATAAAAAGCTAAATAGTCAGCTCAGCCAGGTCCTGCTCTGTGTACTTCACCAGCATCTACACACTTGCTCTTATTCATTCTAGGAGAAAAGCCACTATCTGTGCAACCGTTTCCCCGGTGTTGAAACCATGAACAAGAGAGCTGGATACTTTTGTCCAAACTACTAAGTGTCAGAGCCAGGGCAGGAAGCCAGGCAATCTGATTTCAGAGTTTGCACCCTTACCAAGCTGATGCGAAGATAGAATAATAATAAACCCTCATGAGCTACTGTAATAAAATGGATGTTAAAAAAAAGAAGAACGCCTACCTAAGGCTAGAAACCTGATGGTGGAGTGAACATAATATATATTGTTGTAGCACTGACAAATAGGTTTATTTTCTTTCAAAAACCAGTATGTGGCAAGATGTATAGGGAATGCTGATCCAGAAGTTTACTCTGAGCTTGTAGTGCAACCAATGCAGGGGGCCTTGTTCTGTAATAATGGAAAACTGGGAACAAATCAGCAGCCTAGAGTAACTTATGATTAAGTAGCTTCACAATACACTCAGTAGCTGGAATGTTTTTTTTTTATTTTTTTATTTTATATAACTTGACTGCCATACTCCTTTTTTTAAAAATTTATTCTTCTCTTATACATTACATCCCTATTGAAGTTTCCTCTCCCTCTTCCCCTTCTGCCCCCCTATTCCCCAGGGATATCAACCAAACATGGCATATCAAGTTACAATAAGACTAAGCGCCTCTCCTTGTAACTTGGCTGGATGAGGCAACCTCCTATGAGGGAAAGGGTTCCGAAAGCAGGCAGAAGAGTCAGCCACAGCCCCCACTCCACTACTAGGAGCTCCGTGAGAAGAACAAGAGACACAACTCTAACATATATGCAGAGGGGCTAGGTCAGACCCATGCAGGCTCCCTGATTGTTGGGTTTCGGTCTCTGAGCCTTTAGGAGCCCAGGTTAATTGATTCTGTGGGTTCTCTTGTGGGTTCCTTGACAACTCTGGCTCCTTTCTCCTCCTCTTCCCAGGATTCTCGCCTAATGTTTGGCTGTGGGTCTCTGCATCTGTTTCCATCAGTTGCTGGGTGAAGCCACGCTGATGACACTTAGGACTAGCGGGACAATTAAAGGGCAGGAACAATGGGCCATGTGTCAAATGTAAAAATATGTAGATTCTGAGAACACTGTATGCACATGGGTGTGGCAGGCAGGGTCTGGAAGAGGACAGGAAGAAACTCTAGTTGGTAGGTGTTCTGTGTCGTTTTAGTGACAGTGTGTTTAGTAGACCCTGAAAAATGGGAAGTAGCTGCTGAGGGAAGGCAAGACTTGGGACTGCTGGTAGGTTTCCCTCTGCTGCCTTCATCCCTGAGTTCGCTGGAGCTGTCCAGTCTCAAGGTGTCGGGACATTTTCTTGGAGTCATTTTTAGCTGCTCCCCTAGCTTCTGCTCCCCTCTCAGGCATCTCCCTTTCTGAGCAAATGCCCAGTGATAACATCTCTGGGGCACGAGGCTCAAGGGGGGATTTCCTCTTTGCATTGCCGACACATCCTGGGCCTGGAGCTTTGGTTTCTGCATCACCACCCAGTACCTTGACTGAAGCCTAGATCAGACATTCTCAACCTTCCTAACGCTGCAACCCTTCAACACAGCTCAGATTGTGGGGACCCTCAACCATGAAAGTGTACTCGATTCATGACTCCTTGCTTCATACTTCAAAACTGTAATTTTGCTACTGTTGTGAGCCGTAACGTAAGCATCTGTGTTTCCTGATGGTCTCAGGCAAGGCCTGTGAAAAGGTCAAACCATCATAGCTGCCAGTCTGTGAGGAATTTGATTCCTTCCACTTTGTTTACATGATTTTGCCAGCTAGTCCATACTAGCTTAATTGATTAAAGGGGCCATTAGATTCCAAAGAGAAACCTGGTGTAGGAAACGTACTGTCTTGCCAGCAGGTGTGTGGCCAAGTGACCTCTGGCCTTCGTAGGGGCTGAAAGCCTTCTCTCAGAACAGCTTCCTACTGTAGGTTGAATGTGTCTGAAGGTACACTTTCGGAAAGTGCTTTGCTCTCTCTTTTAAGTATCCAGTTGGCCGGCCAAGGGTCACGCATGACATGAAAGCTGGGTTTCCATGTGCGAATCTGAAAAACCCTCGAGTCACCTATTTGCCTGTGAATGTGGAAGTGGGCGTGCCTGTGAAACGGCTGGACTTGCCACTGTCAGAGCAGGTGAACGGTGGAGAGGGGGACTACAGTTTCCAGACAGGACAGCGTATCGCTGTACTGATAGTGTGCCCATCTCAGCGAATGTGCGGTTTTCAATGAAGCAAAATTTGGGGAGCTTTGTGCTTTGCAAGACCACAGTTTGTCAGACGGGGAGCATGGAGTGTGCTGTTTTACCTGCGTCGGTATTGTGTGTCTGCTTCTGTGTGTCTTTGGACACAAGCCCTGCTTTAACAAGGCGTTTGTTCGTTGTGTGCAAGTCTGTGCGGCAGGCAGTGCTCGGGTCCTGTTCGAGGCTGCTTGCTGGCTTTCCAGCTTCACTTGCGTCTGCAGTAGGCTCTGCACGTGCGCCAGCCTCTGTGCGCACGTCCCCGAGTGACCCGCGTGCGGTGCCCGGGGACCTCTGGGTCGTGTGCACTCCCTGCCTGCCTCTGCGCTGATGAACGCACCTCCACCGGTCCGGGAGCGTGTCTCCCGTTGTGTGCACGCTCCGTGTGCACGCCGCCGGCGCGCGCGCGTGTGTGTGTGTGTGTGTGTGTGTGCGTGTGTGTGCGCTCAGGGCGCTGCGCGCTGCGGCCGGAGGACCGCGCCAGGCTCCACGCGCCCCACTCCCCCCTTCCCCCCACCAGCGCGCGCACCGCAGCGGGGCCCGCGATTGGCCGCTCGCTCCTCCAGCCGTCACCTCCTCCCCCGCCCCGCGCGCCCGCGGTCCCCGCTGTCCCCCGCGGTTCCGGCGAGGCCGCGCCGCGCCGCGCTCCGCTCCCATTGGCTGCGCGCGCCTTTGTGTGGCGGCAGCTGCGGCCCCAGCGCCTTTGAATGTCGAGAGGGGCCGGGAAGGGAGCCTTTCCATGGGCCATCTGTCTCCCCGCCAGCCGCCGCCCCGCCGCCCGCGCCCCGCGCTCCGCCTCCCGCCCCGGCGGCTCCCGCAGCCCCGCCGCCCGCGCCCCGGAGCCGCGCCACAAAGGGCCCGCGCGCAGCCGCCGCCGCCGCCGCTGCGCGAGGAGCCAGGATGGTCCTGGTCCACGTCGGCTATCTCGTGCTTCCAGTGTTTGGCTCTGTGCGAAACAGAGGTATCGCTTTTTTCCTTTCGGGGTCTGCTTCCTTCCGAGCGCTGATCGCCGCAGGCACTGGGCGGGGGCGGGGGCGGGCGCGCGGGCGGGGGCGCAGGCACAGCCGCGGGGCGAGGCGAGCCGTGCCGCTCCCCACCCCCTTCTGGGGAGACCCCCGAATGTGGGGTGGCACCCTTGCGGGAGCTTTTGTAGTGAAGTTAGGATTTGCTGAATTTGGGTCCCTTCCTCCCCAGCCCCATATTTTTTAAAATTATTATTTGCGGCGGACATGGTTCCTCCTCCAAATCACAGCCCCTTCCCCTACCTATCCCCGTGTGACCGAAAGAAGGAGAGAGATGCATGCCTTGTGTGTGTGAGTGTGTGTGTGTGTGTGTGTGTGAGAGAGAGAGAGAGAGACAGAGAGAGACAGACAGACAGAGACAGAGAGAGAGTAAGAGAATATGTTTGATTTGATTTTCTGTGATTTGCCTTTTTTTTTTTTTTAAGGCACATATGTGTTTTGTAATTTTTCATTTTGGGGGCCTTAAGGTCGATGGGCAGCGACCTGGGATCTGAGCATCAGCCCCATCCCATGCTCCAACCCCTTCCCTCTCCTGCACATTCTTGTCCCTTTCTTTTCTCATGTAATTATTTTGGTTTTATTGCCCTTATTCTGTGCCCCTTCACACCTCTTTCCGCAACTGTCTTTGTGTGACAGTTGCATTTATAGGTTCAAAAGGCTTGTATGTGTGCGTGCGTGTGTGTGTGTGTGTGTGTGTGTGTGCACGCGCGCGCGTGTGTATGCATGTATACATATGTGCGCGTGTGCATAAGCGCTTCGGAAATCAGACGTGCGCTGCCTTGCACTCCTGCCTTGCACCCCTGGGCTGGTCCGGAGCCGGTTGTGTGTTCCTTGGGTGTTGAGCTGTGCGTGAGGATGAGGGAGCTGCCCATATGCCAGGCCTTTGCCCGGGGCAGGGGTTGACCAAGCAGCAGGCTGGTGCTGTCTTTGTTTTTAACTGCTGTATATGGGGTGTGTTTGCACGGTACCCCTTCCCCACACCCCTATCCTTACATTCCCCCGCAACAATAGCTTGGTTTCCCCTTTTTCTTCCCCCACCCCACATTTCTTCCATTTTCTTTTAATCAAAAATTCCCACCTCCCAAAGCAAATCTGAGATACATTTCATTTTTTTTTTTTTTTTTTTTTCCTTTTTGTATTCTGCCTCTGGACTCACATTTCTCTTGGAAATGTTTCTTCTCTCCCATTCCACGTCTGCTTAAATCCCTACTGGCTAAGTCCCCCCCACCCCCTACAAGAATGATGTCTTCCCTTTGCAGACCCCGCGGTCCTCCGAGTCAGAGCAGGGGAGGGGTCACAGGGCCAGTCCTTTAGTGCGCTCCAGGGGCCAGTCTGCAGCAGGCCAGGAAAGCCCAGCCCCCCCTCCTTTGGCACCTCTCCCCAGAAACCCAAAGAAAGGCAAGGTTGGCCCCTTAGGCCTGTTTGAACTGCAGTTTTTTTTGTGTGTGATGATAGAACGATGACATTCTGCATTTATCAAATCTTTTTTTTTTCTTCATCGTGTAGCTCAGTGAATGGTCAACTCGCTGCTGTGTGCGCTGTGACCCTTCTGCCTCCGCATTTAGCTGTATTGTGACACCCCTCTTAACCATTTCCTGTCTCCATCAGAGGAAGGCATTGCTATTTAAGCGGCAGTATCCCCTATCTCAGGCCAGCTTGGGGTGGGGAGGGTAAGAGGGGAGGTCAGATGAGATCACGAAATGCCACCCTCTCCCCAATACACAATTATCTCTTATTACTTGGCATTTCCTCTTAAAACGGGTGTGGAACAGTACACTAGGCAGAAATTCAAAAATGATTAAGAAGGATGTTGAGCCTGAAAGTATAATTATCCTGATTAAATCATTATCATCCTCATTAATACCACCACTCTCTAAATACCATTGCAGCATGCTGGTTCCATATTTTGAAATTCAAATTATTCAGCTGCCTTTAAATTTTATTTTTAATAACTCTGCCCTCCACCAACAAAAACCCAACCAAACCAATTCTGCCTGTCAGAATTGCAGTGGCAAACTTTCCTGGTAAACACGCCCACAGGAATTTTTAGGGTCTGAGGGGTGAGTTGGTCTGTGGGTGAAATTTACCACAATGTGCTAAGAACTCATGACCTTCCGATAGAGGATACTAATGCTTAACTCAAAGGTCCTAAACCACAATTTTCTTGTAAAACGATTAGCTAGTCTGCTAGCTTAAGCCTGTTCCTTTAGATTCCATTGTAGTAGTGTAGCTTGTAGGGCCATTTCAGAATAGATATAGCGAAATAACCATTTTTGTATCTTCATCTTGTTTAGCTGAGTACATTGCTCTGTAAATCCCTGTTAAGTGGATTCCTTTTGCCTTGGCTTGGAGGCTGCAGCAGCCCATTTCTCACTTGTCTGGGTGACCATCAGTTGGCCTCCTGGCAGCACCCAGGCATACCATGTAGATGGAGGCAAAATTTATTAAATATCTATTAAAAAGAAAATCTATAATGAAACGACAGTTGCTGCTATTTCAGTCTCTGAAAAATTGGTGCACCAAGGTCCCTGGCTTAAGGGGAGCTGCTGTGGCCATAGGGTCCTAATTGTTTAATTGTACAACATTAGGGGCATCTTTGGATGTCTGCCCTGGCCCTCAGGGCCACCCCTTTAACAGCCAGCTCCCTTCTGCTGCCTGGCCAGCTAGACCTGCTTGAAAACCGAAACAAAACAGCAGCAATCACCAAAGAATAAGGTGCCTACTTTGAGGGCCTTTCGGAAATAGTACCAAGTAGCCGCCTCAGAATGCCTTTGGCGATCTGAAAAAAGAAAAAAATGTAAAACAAAACAAAACAGAAAAAAAAAAATCCTCAAGACAAAAACCTCAGCAAAATGGTTTTCCATTAAACAGGGGTAGCGTGTTCTGCTGTGCTTAATTACTTCCTGTTCTTATTTTGTGGGTAATTTTTTATGTATCAGATATCTTTTTGGTTGTGTATCTTTTCACCTTTTCTTGTACTAAAACTAAAGCATGGTCTGTATTTTTTACATCCCCCAGTTGACAATGTACAGCCTCGGTTAGAGATGTTACCCTGCCGAACCGCACTGTGGCCGTGTAGCCCGGGCCATCTGCTCATTGTACGCTGCTTTTGTTCTGTTCCCCTTCCGAAGCATGGTGGGCCCAGCCTTTTCTGTTCTTTATTTTTTTCTTTATTTTTTCTTTTTTTTTTTTTTGTATCGTGTGCATGATGACATTGTTACACACAGAATCCACTAATACTAATATACAATCTCAATAAAGAACTAGTTTTCCTATATTAACCTAGTGTGCTTTTTCTCTTGCTGTTTTCCCATTTATTGTCGTATCCTGCTGTTTAGAGCCTCCTTGCTTTTCTGTCCTCAACCTCACCCACCACCCCCACCGCCCATTGTAAGATTTGAGTGAATGCCTTTTCTTTTACTTTCCTTTTTTCCCTCCCCCTCCCTCTTTTTCTTTCCCTTTTTGTGGTATAGATATGGTGACTTTAATCTCATGTACTCCATATCTTGTAACAATAGAAGCCTGGGGCCTCGGGAAGGGTCAGTTGTTCTGTCACGCTGAAACAGCCCAACCCCATACAGACCCCCTGTCTTTGGCCACCTGTGCACTCAGTCCCCTCCACTTTCATCGTAGTGTCCAATGGACAAGGCACTGGGAAGGAAGGAGAAATCACACTAAGGTTGAGAAAAGGGATACTGGACTTAACTAGCAATCTTGGAGTATTGACTCACCTGAAAAAACCCATTTTGAGTTGTGTCTTAACTTTTTGTTCACTGTCTCATTGATTTACTGTCCTTATAAATCATGTGGGGGGGTGTTACACGTGACATGTAGCTGAAGCCATGATCCAAAGCACTAAAACATCCTTTTCTATGTGTATATTGAGATTCTTGAGACCTAGAGTGTAAGATCCTCATTTAGATCCTTCGTAAGAAAGATGCATGGGATGGAAAGGCCTGGGACCCCTCCCCATCCTAGGGCTGGCAGCTCCACCTGGGACTGTAGGAATAAGAGTCTGTACTTTCTGTGGGCTGTGAGCCAGTTAAAGCTGATTATAGCCTGCTTGCCTGACAGCTGCTTCATCTGCGGCCCTAGGGCCTCTCTGGGGAGAAAGCAAACGAGATCTGGCCATTGTCTCAGAGTGTGTGCTCGTTGAGGTGGGGGTGGGGAGGTCAGGAGGGAAGTCAGGACCTATGTCCAAATTGAATTGCAAGACCCCTTCGAAGTATCCCCCACCCGCCTTCCTGTCATTGCTCTGGAAAAGCCAAAAGAGAAGTATCTCCCCCACCCACCCAGTGGAACCCAAATTCAAGCATTTGTCAATTACATCTATTCAATGTCAGCCCAGAACAAGCCTTGTTAAATGAGGCATTTTAGACACCAGAGGAAATCAGTTGATTAAAGAAATTCATGGTTCCTTCAAGGGGTCATCATTTTAAGGCTGTTTCTCTTGGCAGACAGGCTTAGTCCTGGCTCCTCTAAGCTGTTCCGGGAGGGCCTCCCATGGTCCCCTCAGGGTGAATGGCCCTGCCACTTCACTGTTGCCTGACCACTCTGCTTCTTTGCCTTCTTTGTGGCCTCAGGAGACACTCCCCACCCCCACGGGCCGCTCTCTTTGCTCAGGTCCTTTGTTCGCCTCTTCCCAGCCTGGGTGGAAAAACTGAACTGATTTACTGTGACACATGGACACACATGGACGTTCCTGTCGCAGGCTTGTGTTATGGTGTGTGCAGAAGGAGATATACAGGTCTATGAAACCAGGCCCTTGAAGGTTTTCTGGTTTTTCTTTAACTTACTTTCTTTTTGGCTTATTTGAAGCCTAGGTTTGGCAAAGCAAAAATAACACTTTCATCTAACCTCAACAACAATCAAAATAAATTGGGTGACAACTCTCATTTCCCGTAAAGACAGATCAATGTTAACCAATGCTAAGCTTTTA